TTCTATCTGGAATGGCTCAACAAAGTTTAGACAGTAAGTTGAAATTTATTGTTATTACTTGCATACTTAAACCAATTAAAATTTCAATGTTCACATCAAGAAAAAGAACTAGAAAGTTTTTTAAAAAATGGTAAAGATAAACTAACATTTTTAGAAATTAAACATAAGTTGCATAACTAGTAATAAGTTGAAATTTTTCAAATGTGACTAACTACAAAAACGAAGCACTTTTTTCCCTTTGAATCATCTGTAATCCATGTGAATCACTTTTTGTTTTTATACATACGCACACACAAAAAAGTGATAGAAAAAATTTAACATTTTTCGTTAATGAATACCGACAAATTCATGATTCCGAAAAGTCCCTTGGGATCATAGAAAGCAATTAAGGCCATACATAAATCTTTATGTTTATAACATTTTGTTCCTTTGTATTTTAAGAAAATCAAGTTAGGTGGTGCTGATGATGGTCATGCTTAAATCCCTTTGGTAATTTTCCAAATGTGCCTCTCGACTGGTATTACCTTTCGACATCCCTGAAATCGTGCAATCTTTTTCAGTGTGTGTTTGAGTCCAATTTTTTTTTAAAGAATAAGTAATTTTTTTGAAGAGTGATTATATTTGTATATAATGAAGTTATATAATAATTTACATACAGATGAAATATCAAATAGAGAGGGATTTTTTTTTGTTGAAGAAATTTTTATCTAATCATATCTCACCACATTATGTGTATGTAAATTATTATTTACATGTAGTATGTGGGGTTAAAATATAGGAATTTATTTTTTGAATTTATATGTAAAGTTATTTTATTTAAAAAATATAGAGTTAAAAATGATTTTTAAAAAAAATATATATAATTTTTATAGCATAGAGTGGAATAGTACTAAATATATAATTAAAAATTGTTATAAATTAGAAAGAAAAGAGAAGTCAATAGATTTTTGTGTATTTTATTGAAAATCAGAGTCTCATATTTATAAGGAATGATTAATGATACAATTAATAATTTTAGGGGTGCATGGGTATAATTATTATTCAATATTAAACTTACAATTTACAATACTCTCCTTTGAATGACACATTATAAAATATATATCTCGTTAAAATCTTGTTAAGAAAATTCAATGGGATAAACTTAATCGAAGGAAAAAGAGTACAGTTGTTCCTCATAATTTCAATTCTTGTATTAATTCATCATTGTCTTATATGTTGATGTCTTCAATATTGCAATTCGGGTGAAGTACGTTTCGTGTTATCTTGTAATAGCTTTCAAATAATACCGCCTTTATACGAAATATTTATCAACATTTGATGGCTGTAATAATATAATGATTTGAAAAATAGCTCTTGTTGATCTCTCCGAAAATCTCATACATATCAAAATATTATTTTGAGGGTAAATATCTTTTAGGTTATAGACATTCATTACACAAACAATATGCATTATCAAAACTTTATTATGAAAAACTCTATGGGAAAAATCCGAATAAAGGAAAAAAAAAGGTACATTATTCTTTTGAATACGCTACAAAAATTGTCTCGTTAAAACCCTTGTCGGAAAACCCAATTAGAAAAAAACCTTGATCAAGGGAGAAAGAGTATGACGCTTATATACTTTCCCTCGTGATAATATTACTTGAATGATATGTTTTAGACAAAAAAAAAAAAAACTTAAAATGATAGTATTAAAACTATGGGCATGTTTGAGCAGAATGTATTTTGGAATAATAGATTAATGAAGAATGTGTGGTTGAAAAGTAATAAATTTTTTGAATTTACGTGTAATATTATTTTATTGAAAAATGTATAGTTGAAAAGAAAATAATGAAAAATGTATTTTGAAAAAATAGGAATCAAGCCAGGTCTATATAAGATAAGTTGACTATAATCATATTTATTATATGCATATCAAATTTCATACATCGTCGGACTAATAAAATAGAGACTTGTGATTATATCCACCACATGATAATTTATTTATTTATACAATTCTTCGCGAAATTTATTATGTAAAGAATCGTACATTTCATATTGCGACTTTACTTTTTTCATTTTTATTTCGCACCTTTATGTGTTCAGATTGTAATTTCAGAAATTTTAGGTTTCTCTAATAAGTTTAATTTTACTAGAATCGTTTAAAAACTTCAAATTTCTCCGGTAAATTCAAATTTAGTATGATTGCATCATTTTATTTGGCGAATCATTACTTCGATCGATATGTTTCAACGAATTTGTTTTGATTCCTCATAAACATAATGTAGTATGTCATGTGCGAAAATGTTGTCGACAACTTTTTCTTTTCTTTTCTTTCTCGATTCTATTTCTTTTTTCATAATGAAATAATTTATTGAAATATCTCAATTTTCATTATTTTAGGTACATAAATCTCTTCTAAGCTTTTAAAACTTGTTATGTCTAAATATTCATCAAGAGTATATGCTTCTTTAATATAATTATCTTTACTAATTGCTTTATTTTCGTTTGAAGATTTTTATATTAGAATCGAATATCATCATATTTCAAGCGTGCCATAAATTTATCAAACATAATATTAACGAATTGTCCTTTCAGGAGTCAATTCGAGTTGGAGCATTTAAATAAATTATCCTTCGAACTTCTTGTTCAAATTGTCTTTAGATTATGATGCATTTATACATTATTTTAAGCTTCTTCATTTCTTTTCCTAATGATAAGAAAATTGTTCAGTCAAATTGACAATCAATAGATCGCTTTACAAAATATCATCCATTTGAGATAAAGATTCAAACTACTCATTTATTCTCAACATTCGTTACTTTCCATCTCATTGCATAGTGAGAATCAATTTTACATATATTGCACTGTCGAAATAATTTGATGAAAAAATTAGCCTCTTACTATAAATTAAGTTATAACTAAGAGAACTATGTTATTGGCATGATGCGTAATGACTTTCCCTAAATAGAAATAAGAAATATTTTGTTCTCAATTAAATTAATTGGAGATATTTAACAAACAATAGTGTTAAACCATTTGTCGATATCCCAACGAACACTTATTAAAATGTTGAGATTTATGATCACTAACATTAACAAGACACACCTTTTAATTGTATTATCAGAAAATTATGCTTATAATTTGATCAATACTTTCACAAACTTCAGGTTGTGAACACAATGCAATCATCTAATATTTGTATCAAATCTATTAGATATAGATAATATCTTAATGGTCAACGTTGAGGATGATTGGACCCCATATATCATCCTAATTCATTTTTAGAAATACAGGGAATTCAATCCATATTTTAGCTAATGATATTTAATAATCAGTTGTCGATAAAAAGAACAAATAATATATAGGAATTCATTGGATTGAAAAATATTGTTGTTCTTCGTTAAATATTCATTTGAATCTTTAATTTCGTATCATTATTGATTAAGTGATGATCTCACGGTTATGTCAAATAATAAAATCAAATTGAACTTTTGGTTCAATAAAATATATAATTCAATTATTTAATTTTGAAGAATATGATTAAACATTATATAATCATATAGCATTCAAGTAGTCAAATTAATCAAGGCTCTCATGACATTAGTTATATGCTTTCCTTTAGAGATAAACATGAATTTAAATATATGTTATTTTGAGAGCAAGTTGTATTTTATTATTGTTGCTACAAAAGAAATATGTTAATATTCTTTTAAAATATTGAAAATTATAATATATGCTCTTTATGAGTAATAGAATATTATTATAATGAATCATACAGAGATTTGCTCTTCAAGAGTAAAAATATAATTTACATTAGATTGTATTTAATTATGCGTTTCGGGAGCAAGTAATATTCATTTGGAATATTAATTAAAATATTTGTGCTACTTCTAGAGCAACAAATAATGCAAATATAATATTCATTTTCAATAATATTACAATATTCTTCTGGAGTATTGATTAAGATTATTTCCTTTAAAAAATAATATACAATATTTTCTGAAATATTGATGAAAATTATTTACTTTCAAGAATAATGTATAATATTCTTTTGGAATATTTCTGTAGAAAATTTGGTTTCATCATTGATTAATCAAATAGATGCATAAATAGTATCATTACTGAATTTACATAATATTCACACAAATAGGATATGGATACAAATACGATACACATACAAAAATAATCATTATTGATTAGTACAACATTAGTAAAATAAACACTAGAACGACTATGCATAAATCCTCTATCTATATGTTTCATAAATCAATACGGAAACATTAATTGGATGTGTTAATTGATAAAAAAAATTTCACATATCCCCAAATTAATTTTGGTACATGCGACAGATGATTATACTTATAAAAGTTATTATTTTCTAACTAGTTCACTTTAATTTTTAGAAACTCGTGCCAATAATATGTTATAAACTAAATAGAAAAGACAATAAATTTGTATATATTTTATTGAGAATCAAAACCTCATATTTATAGAAAATGATTAGAGATATAATGATAATAATTTTTAGTGTTTTCAATTATATAATTGTTATTCACTGGTAAATTTATCATTTACGGTAAATGTGGGGTTTAAAAAAAAATTAATTTTTATAGCATAAGGGTGAAAGTGCTCAATTTTTCAATTTTTAACCCAACAATTCCCAATAATAACTCTTTTGTCCCCCTCGATTCTCCGGTGTTTCTGCTAAGACATAGATATCTTCACATGGAACACTGTGACGATAAATTCGTATTTCCCATGTGATTATGGCACCCTTCCCCACTACATAGAATCCCCACCCCCAACAACCCAGCACAAAATTCACTGTCAAAGCTAGTCACTCACTCTTCTCTGAGGGTCTGTACAAGAGCAGTCCTATTTTTTTTACCCAGTTTTGTGCAATTGCAGAAATTTAGGAGGATAATAGATCAAGCCCGTCAAGAATCCAATGCCCGGAAAGTTATTAGAGAAAAAGAAAATTTGTGTTTTGAAGATCTTTTAAATTTAGGTTTCCGAAAATGAAGGCGGCAACGGATATAGATTTGAATCCTTCACCGGTCATTTCTTTCGACCATAAGAGGTACCGCCAATGGCTAAATGTCCCTCATTTTATTTTTTGATTCAATTTATTTCTTGGTGATTACTTGCATTTCTTTCCTTTTGATTTGTTCCATCGCTCAATTGCCAATTCAGCATTTTACACGTGTTTATATTTTCTCTATATCCGTACAGCTGCTAATCCAATTCTGAAAGGGGTTCTCGGGATTTGCCTTTTGTGTTCATTTATGAGGACGATACTTTAATCTTGATTAAATTGAGTACTCCTAAAGAGTGTTTTTAGAGCTTTATTTTTAATTTTTATTTTCTTCAATTTTAAAAATAACTCAATCGTAGTATAATATTGATTTGACTTGTAATCCTATTCTTTTTCTTTTATTTAATTGAATCTTAAATGAACAAAGTTTTTTTTTTGGGGTCCAAACTTATTGACTCTTTTGGCTATGAGATGTTTAATAGTAATGTTTTGTACTTGGGATTCTTATCACTCCTTCAACTTTTATGAATTAAAGCTTTGAGTCTTAACTGTGAAATTTGAGATGAGGTGGAGTAAATTAGACTGGTAGGACAATGCTGGGTGTAATACTAATGTGGATAGCAAAATCTCCGTTCACTGTAAAATATGTTGATGAGTAATCTGAGTTCAGAAACTTTAGAGGCTGATGACAGGTGTATATAAACTACAAATTATATGAACTTTTGGTTGCATGCCTAGATATACATGAATATATGCAGAGTATTGCTGCATGTTGATTTTCTTTTCACCTCTTGTTTTTTTGTCTCCATGAACATCTTCAGATGTAGTCCCCGAAAAAATCTTAGAATTTCTAAATATATCAGAATTTTCTTTAACAGGGATGCATATGGGTTTGCAGTGAGACCTCAGCACTTGCAAAGATACCATGAATATGCTAATATCTACAAGGTTTCTTTTCTCTTTGAACCTTCTCTTTGGATGCTAAAATAAAAGAAAATTAGCAGACACTGCTTATTTCCCCTTCTCCCTCTTGAGTATACTCATTAACCAGAATATATATTGCTCTTTTATGATGGCTTTAGGAGGAAGAGGAGGAGAGGTCAAATAGGTGGAAAGACTTTTTGGAAAGGCAAGCTGAGTCTGCTCAGTTGCCCGTGGACAAGTTATCTGAAAATGATAGAAAGTTGAATATTGAATCACCCAAGTTCAGAGCTAATTCTAGTGCTGAGAACAATGATAAAGCTGATGATTCTACTTGTGAGAAGCCTAACTGTGACAGTTCATCTGAAGAAAAGAAAGAGGTGCAATCTGCACCAGATATAAAAGTTCATCGAGTCCAATTATGGATGGAGATCAGACCATCTCTTCGTGTTATAGAGGATATGATGAGCGCTTGTGTGAAAAAGAATGTCAACTCGATTAAAAATGAGGTGGACTCTGGAACAGGAGAACATCTTCCTACAATTGAAGAAACTAGACCTGGCAAAGGAGCACCTGAAGAGGACTCCGATGAAGAATTTTATGATTTGGAGAGGTCAGAATCAGATCCCAATCTAGACATCTCTTCAACTGACAGTATCAGTGTCCCAGCTATGGGTGCTGCTGGTGATTCTGCTGTTCCAGATTTTCGGCCTGCTTGGAGGGAAGAATTGGAATGCCTTGTTCGAGGCGGAGTCCCAATGGCTGTAAGGGGAGAGGTGTAGATTGAACGTTCTTTTATTTTCTTTTATTCATTTTTCCTTGCATAATTGTTGTTTACTCTTTTTATCTTGGATTTACAGCTTTGGCAAGCTTTTATGGGTGTGAGAACACACCGGGTGGAAAAATATTACCAAAAATTGCTTGCTCCAGATGCAGTTTCTGGTAACAATTTGGAAAGTAAATCAACGGAATTGGATGACAACAGTCCCAAGCCAAATGCAGATGTAACTGAGAAATGGAAAGGACAGATTGAGAAGGTTTATTTATGAATCCTGTTTTTGAATTTGCGTTTTCACTTCATTGCCCATAGTTATTTTGTTTATTTTAGTTCAATGCCTCCAGAAGCCCAACATTATTTCTATATATGCAGGATTTGCCTCGTACATTTCCTGGCCATCCTGCTCTGGATGAGGATGGAAGAAATGCTTTGAGGCGTTTACTTACGGCTTATGCTAGGCATAATCCCTCTGTTGGCTACTGCCAGGTATTTCTAGATTTATAGGTTATTGCATTTAAAAAAATAAAGGAATCCCTTCAGTATCGCTGTTCTCATATATTTGCATTAATTTACAAAAACTGCTCCCAAAATTAAGATAATCGTTATCTCTTCATACCCTGCAGTTTGATCATTGAGTGAAAATGGTTAGATGATCTTCAAACACTTTTTCGATTTTTTGCACAATGAAAAAATTGTGCACACAATTATCTTTGTTCTTTCCCTGCTTTTACCAAGAGTCCTGGTATTGAAGGAAGGAGCTTGACTCTCTTTATTTCAAAACTCTTTATTTCTCATATTCATTTTTAACCAGACATTCACACAAAAAAATATTTCGTATGTAAACCCAAAACTTTTCTCTACTTTTTAACCTCACATTCTCCAAAAAAATTACTGTTCAAAACATCATTTCTCCCAATTTCTCTTTATAATGGCCATCAAACAGGGGCTTAGATTGGATATATCTAAGGGCAAGCTATTTATTTTCTACTGCAGTGATAATTTTCAATCTGCATCTCCTTGTTCGCCTGTTTCCAATTATCTTATCATGCTTCATATAAAATCTATTGTCCTAGTGTCCAGTGCATCTAGTGTCTAGTGCATGCATTACTGATGCTTTTTTTATAATTTTTATGCAGGCTATGAATTTCTTTGCTGGCTTATTGCTGCTTCTGATGCCAGAGGAAAATGCATTTTGGTAGGTTTTTATCTTGGTTAAAAATAATCTTTTGTGTCACTTTCTATCTGTCGAGGAAAATTCCTAATATAAAATGATCATGTGTACAATTTTATAAAGTTATAAGAGAAGAACATACTTTCTCTCTTTCCGTCGGCGACATCCTTGGAGTTGTGCATTCTGTTAATGTGTTGGGCTTGACTGAATCCAAAATTTCTTTCTTTTTCTTATGTTTTACTTCCAGGACTTTAATGGGTATTATAGATGACTATTTTGATGGCTACTATTCAGAAGAAATGTTAGAATCTCAGGTAAGGTAATTGTTGCACATTGTCTTTTGCTTGGCAGCTCTTTCATTAGATTCATTTCGAATATGAGTTTCCTCTCGAACTAAATATCTTTTCAAAACAGCACATTAGATTTGAATTTTTTGTTTTTTTCAAATTATTTCTTGTTAGGTTGATCAACTTGTTCTTGAGGAGTTGGTGCGTGAAAATTTTCCAAAATTGGGTTCATCTCTCTCTCTCTCTCTTTCTCTCTTCTTTTAGTTATCATTAGCTTTCCCAGAAATGATTCGAGTCAATCATGCATTTTTGCTCCTCATTAAAAATGTGTTTGCTGCAGTAAACCATCTGGATTACCTGGGAGTACAGGTGGCATGGGTGACTGGGCCGTGGTTCCTCACGGTATTTATGAATATGCTTCCTTGGGAAAGTGGTCAGGTTCTTATCTCAATCTTGCAAGATATTGACCAAAAAGTTTTCATTATCTTCTAATGCTTGCTTAGAGTTGATCCTTTTAGGAGCCTCTGTATTCTGAATCCTGATTCTCCTTATCAGTGTTGACCTCGTCATCTTTTTAAGTAACTCTGAAACCTTATGAGTTTTTATCTGCTTCCAGTTCTTAGAGTCTGGGACGTGCTTCTCTATGAAGGGAATCGTGTCATGCTATTCCGTACAGCACTTGCTTTAATGGAGTTATATGGTACTGGGTTAGCAATATCTTTGGTGTATGAATTTGTAAACTTCAACAAGTCTGTCGTCTGCATGTGATATAGATACATATTACGTTTGTGATTGTGTTAGACGGGATAAAGCATAATTATATTCAGTGTTGTACAGGACCTGCATTGGTTACTTCCAAGGATGCTGGAGATGCAGTCACACTGCTTCAATCACTAGCTGGCTCGACATTTGATAGCAGTCAACTTGTCTTGACTGCTTGCATGGGTTACCAAAATGTTCATGAAAAACGATTACAAGAACTCAGAAATAAACATCGACCAGCTGTTAGAGCTGCACTTGAAGAAAGATTAAAGGGAGAACGAGTTTGGAGGGATACCAAGGTTCTAGCTTCAAAGCTATATAGTTTCAAACACGATCCTGATTCCATTATGGTGGGAAATGATAAAACAGAAGAATTGGCTGCTCAGACAAATGGTGACACAGCCTACCTAGATATGAGCTTGAATGGGGATGTGGAGATAGATTCTTCTAAAGATCTTCAAGAACAGGTAGCTTATCGTATGATCTTTTCACGCGTGCTTGTAATCTCCANCCCCCCCCCCCCCCCCACCCCAACACACCTCGTCTCTCTATCACTGACAACTAAGTTAAGCAAAACGTGGAGTTGGTCCATAGATTGTCTCTAGTATTCTGTATTAATTTGAGCTGGTCAAGGAGTGTCAACATGATTGTTGTTCTTCGCCTCAACACAACTTTTTTCTAACTGGTGCATTTATCAACTTTGTTCAGGTGGTGTGGCTGAAGGTCGAGTTGTGCAAGTTACTGGAGGAAAAACGATCAGCTGAGCTCAGGTAAGTACAATAATATTTGGTTGAAACTATTATGTGAAAATAGCTTATTTCAATCATAGTTAGGTGTTCTTGGGTGATTGAACATGTTGTCCAATTTTTCAAACTTGACATTTCTTTTGTCTTGATTATAAAACAAAACTTACTTTTATCATTCTTAAAACATCGAAGTGATCCCCAACTCCGTACTTTCTGTCCCTACAGAAATAGGCAGTTACGAGTTAATGCAGAGGAAGGGGGTGGACATGCCTCCATTGGACTTTAGAATATTTTTAGATCATGTTTACAACATTTTTTTCATGAAGAAGCACTGCAATTTTTGTTCCATTCCTGATTCCATAACGGCGAAAGGAACCCCAACAGGCCTACCCACATTCTCATCATCTTTATGCTCAATTAGTAAGCCCCTTATCGCCCCTGATCCTGATTGATTTCACAAGCAAGTATGCGGATCGTGGCAAATAATAAAGTGGATTTTGAATTTAAGTATCGTATGCACACAGACTAAGTATTTACTACTAATTTTATCCTAATCTAGTTTCAATCTAAACTTATTTAATAACCAGTTTTCCAATTTAAGTGTTATGTTTCTGACTAAATTACTCTAATTTAATCTAATTTAACGAGGTTGTGGAAGACTTTGGGAATTTTGTGGTTAGGAATTTTGATTTCACTTAGATCCTTTAACATTTATTTAATCCAATTTCATTCAGCTCCTTTTTCACGTGTATAACCTAAGAAGCACTAACACGGACCCGAATGTCTGACAAGATACATGTCGGACATGCCGATATTCAATGTTTCGAAAAAGTTCCAACACGAAACACATTAATTGAAATATTATTTTTTTTAATTTTTTAATCTAAAGTAATAATTTTTTTAATACTTCGCATCATATAATAATCTAAAGTGAAAATATTGATCGACATAGAAATCCACTTTTGGTTTGTTAAAGGTTAAAACTGGAAAAGAAAGCCTATCAAATAGATAGGAAAAGCAAAATTTGTAGACGATTCAATGTTTTGGGGGCCAACCCAGCACATTTGAATTGAAAAGTGGATTTCAATAATAATGTTTACTGTGGACACTCATCTCTTCATTTTCAAAACCTATTATTCTAACGGTACTTGATTCGTTAACAGACATCCTTGAGCCCCACTCTATTATTCTAACGGTACTTGATTCGTTAACAAACACCTCAAACTCCTTCGTCTCAACTCTAAATAGCCGATTAAATACCATACCATATGCATTCACCCGCTTTTTCCTTTGATTTTGAAGAAATGGCACATCAGATGACAAAATGGGCCTGCGGATGACACCGGGGATGACTTGCCGGATTTTCTAGATTTCCGGTGATGGTGCGTGTGCTACACTCGCCTGCAGGGCCGCCGCCGGAGCGGCGTGTGGTGGTCCCTCCGATGTTGGAATGGGTTGCATGGAGCGCCGGTAAGGCGCGTTTGCCGGATTTGAATACGGATGCTGGTAGATCTGTGTTTTGGTCCCAAATTTCGTGCCATTGTCGGATGTCCCCGCAATGGCCCAGGCACCGGAGCGAGCGGCGGCGCTAGGGTTCCCACCTAAGGCCGCCACCTTTGATTGTGGGTAAATATGTGGCGTGGGGCCGGTAGGGTTAGATTTTTCTGTGACTTCTCGCCGTCAACAGCGTTGGCCGGAATGGGTGGTTGTCGGATGGAGGGTGGCTGGGTAAGTGAAGGTTGGGTGGTTTTGGATTTTAGGGAACGGGGTTCCATTGCTGAAGAGTTTTAGCCTTTGGAATCTACCAGTTCAATTCCGTCTCTATGCTTAGCGTCATATACCAAATTAGATACACTGCTTCCTTAAAAGCTGACATCGGTTGATTGTCATCTCTTTTGGTGAAGATAAACACAAAATACCATTCATGGTATAATCTTTCATCATTTTATGATTATCTAGTGTAGAAAGAAACCCTCTTTAATGGCAAAAAGTGAAGTCTAAAATCTGCCAACTTGTGAAATTCTGAGCAGATTGTCAGTGATGGTTTTTTCTTGTTTGAAAGACTTCCAATGCAAGATAAAAAATTCATGTTGGTCTAGAGACAATCTTAAAATGTCCAGGGGTTCACTTTAGGTAGAAACTTTTACCTTTTTTTTTTTTTGTTTCTTTTTCTTATGAGGAACATGATGAGTCTTAATTTATGGAGTTCTGATATTCTCTGTTTTTTCTTGCTTTCTTTTACAGAGCTGAAGAACTCGAAACAGCATTAATGGAGATGGTTAAGCAGGATAATCGGCGGCAATTGAGTGCAAGGGTAAGTAAGAAGCTATATGAGCTTTGCATATGTGTTTTGGTATATTTAGCTAAATGCCATTTTTTTTTTTTTGTAAAATCTCTATTACAACAGTTATAGAGGACATGGTGTTTAGTTGACGTAATTGTGTATTACCATGAATTTTTCTATGAAGCATCATTATAGACTTAAAGGAAATATCTATCTCGGGTTCACAATGTCATTAATTACAATATATTTGATCCAATAAGTTGTATAGCGGCTGTATATAGCTTCTTTATTTTTTTTATACAGTAGCTATTACATGGTCAGAGTTTCAAAATTACTTTGTAACCCTGGAATTATATTGTCCACTTCGGTTAAAATAACATTGAAGTTTTAAATGGAAGTGTCCCTCGAAGTTATTTATCATGTCATGGCAGTGTCTAATATGATAATCATCTGCTATTAGTTGCATTTTTCTTTTTCAATTATTTTACCTCAGTTTGACGTTTCTCTTATGTTCCTTCATCGGCCTATTTTCTCCTCAATCTTTGTGTCCTACCTCAATCTTTTTCATTTTTGGTCGAAACTTCTTCCTACATTCTAATAAACCCATAACCTGTTTTCCAGCCCCTTTATTTTAGTGTTCTCTGAAAAACCTTACTGAGATTGATAGGTTGACAGCTTTCTTTCTCCACAAATCTTGGGCTTAGCCCTTCTTGAATTAATCCCATTCTCCACCCTAACTGTTGGCTAAACAGCATACTGCAAACTCAATCCTGCTGGTGCGGCATTGTTTTTATTTAATTTTGTAGGATTCTGACGCGATGCTTATCATAGATATTTAGCAGAATTTGACCTGTGTTAATTTTTTCTTCAGGTTTGGAATAATATATAATGTTCTTTTAGCATGGGAATAATGAGAAAAGTATCAGTTTTGAATTGCAGCCATAAACGTCTGTGCTTACAAAATTTTCTTTGTGATTTGTTTTTGATATTTGTATATCGATAATAGATTTTCTTTTAATCATCCACCGATGTCTGATTTTCTGCTCTTAACTTTAGGTTGAGCAATTAGAGCGAGCGGTCACAGAGCTACGACGAACCCTTGCTGATAAGCAGGAACAAGAAAATGCCATGCTTCAGGTAGCATTGTGCTATACATTCAATGATGTCACTGATGATTGTCTCCTATTATTCCTTAGTTAATCATGGCATGCATCTTTGATTTATTTCACAGATTTTGATGAGGGTCGAACAAGAACAGAGGGTGACAGAGGATGCTCGCAGATTTGCTGAGCAAGATGCTGCTGCTCAAAGATATGCTGCTCAAGTGCTTCAGGTTTCTTTCTCCTGTGAAATACTTTGCATGCTAAATCCTATTAGATGATGTGTGCTGTTGTGTGAATTTTTTAATTCCCTTGCTATTAAATTGTAGAAGTGTTTTTGCTACGACGTACATGCTTAGATTTACACTTAATATGCAGATCACCCGAGTCCCTTTGTTTTTCTTATTCAGTTTTCATTTCTTTTATTTTCATAGTTTTTTAGGAAGGAACATACATGTTTTTAATGGCTGTTGTCTTCGTTTGCTCCTGTTATATAGCAATGTAGGTCTCGGTATTAACATGGTGAAGGTACACATACATGTGGAAAGAGAGACAGATGTAAACGTATTATGTTTTATACCTTGTTCAGGAAAAATAGATATAAACACGACTCTTGTATTGATCCAGAAAATTTCCTACTAGAAAAGGACAGGTAAAGCAAGGATTGGTTATATAGACTTGGCAAGAAAAATAGGTTATTAATGAAGAAGAGTCTTTGGCTCTATAATTTTCTTCTAATGCTCATTATATACCATGATAAGGAAAAGAAAGGAGAGAAAAAAATCCTACAAAAAAAAAATATATATTTTCAGAGAGCCATCAATTTTCTTCTCCCTAGATAGCCAGAAGAATGCTGAGTGGTCATTTCCGAACTCATGTACTTGTCCTGTGCATGGTTCTGATGACTCAGTTGTAACTAGGGGTGGGAACGGTTCGGTTCGGTATCAATTTGGCAAGAACCTAATTGAACCGGCTAGAAAATAATCTTTACTTTCATACAGAATTGGTCTGTTATCTGTGAAACTGAATTGGTTGCACTACATATCTGGTTTGGTCCACTGTTAAAACAAAAGGACAATTTTTCACAAGAAACAGAAAATAAAACTCAAATCAAAAAACGGTTAGGCAGAGAATTTGACCTTTTCACATTCCATGACTAATAACGATAGAAAAGTAGGATCTGGGCTCTCTACTATGTGGTGATCTCTCTTTATTCATATTTTTCTTGGATGAGTATGTTGTTTTTTCATTTTTCTTCATCGTGCTAAGCATGGGTGTTCTATTTGTGAATTTGTACATGTAGGTGAATGGATCTCCAATGATGAAAGGTTTAGTAATGTATATGTCAATGGAAACTACTAAGGAAGCATGAAAGGAAGAAATAAATCGAAATATATCTTTGATTTGATTTGTGAAAACAGAGAATAGAGAGCATTACTCATCCTTCTATTACTATAATATTTTATGCATTGCATTACTTGTGGTTATATTTATGCATCACTTTTTTGGTTAAGAAATATGATTTATTTAGATTCACAGTTTGACTAGTGGCCCACTGATTGAACCAATAATTTAATGAATTGGTGCTTTGTGTGGTCAATCAGCTGGGCAGTTTTCTTGATCAGACAGATTTATTTTCAATTATTTGGTAAATTTTTTTGTGATGCACGCTTCAAAAATTTTACATTGGAGATTCTGACAATTTAGCTCTTGTATGTTGTTGCGGTGACCACGCACAGGAGAAATATGAAGAAGCTACTGCTACCCTGGCTGAGATGGAAAAGAGGGTGGTCATGGCAGAATCTATGTTGGAGGCTACCTTGCAGTACCAGTCTGGGCAAAACAAAGGACAACCATCCCCACGGTAAACAGTAACTTTTTAGATTTATCTTTCCTAGGTGATATTTCACTTGCATGCTGCTGTTCCATTCTTTTGGTGACTTTATTTATAAAGTCCTTGCACTTATTTTGAAAAAAGGCACTCTATGCCTCCATGTTTGTAATAATACCGAGTATGAGTGCACATGGCAGATCAACACAGCAAGATTCTTCTCCAGTTCGAGGTAGTCATGATTCACAGGACACGTCATCAAGGAAGATTAGTTTGCTGCCTCGACCATTTGGGCTAGGATGGCGTGACAGGAACAAGGTCAGTTAAGAAACTCCCCTATTCATGTTAAGACTTAATTATATTCCACAGTTTTAGTGTTCCTGTGAGTATCGAGTGACTAGCTGTATTTTGGGTTTTCTTCTGTCAATTTACCATGTTGTTGCTGATACCAGTCTGAGCAGTCAACTGGTACAATTACTAATTGGTCACCTGATCTACGATACTTCCTATTATCTAGATGTGTTATGGTTGTCTCGATGAATACATATTTTCATAGTGATGTTATGCAACATGGAATTCCTTCCTGTCTGGTACGCTAAGATCCAGGTTTTGGTGGTACTAATACCTAATGCTTTTTTTTTTCTTTCTTTCTTCATGGTTTGTAATTGTGCTTCCTGCAATTTCCATACAATTGTGATGTTTTCGACCTCGTGCATGTAATTTGCATTCTTCTCTTCATTGCTCAAGCCCAAACCACTGTCATATTGTAACATGCCTCAAATAGTTGACTTCACATTGGGTTGGAAATGGCATTTTTGTGGACAGTATTCTGGAGTAGTGGTATAGCAACTATAGAACAACATTATTGTTGATGTAATGTGATATCTCATCTGTAGAAGACACTGTTTATTCAGTTATTTCTTTACGCTTTTATGGTATGTAAACTACTTAAGAAAATCACTTCGACTTGTGCACTGTACTAACAATGTGGAGGGGAGAAATTCTAATTCAACAGGGGAAGCCTAACACTGTTGAAGAAGCAAACAGCAGCAAATCTTTGAACGAGGGACAGATTTTAAGCACCCAACCAGAAGAAAAATCTTCGAGGGAGGGACAGATTTCAAGCACACAGCAGGAAAAGAGCAACGATCAACAGGCAGAACAGAAGGTTGAAAAGGCAAATGATTCATAACTTTGGCTTGGTGGTTTCCCTCGTTTGCTAGGTAATGCCTAAAGCATCACTGGAATTCCTTCCGGGAGCAATACAGAAATATTCTTTTCCCCTTCTCTATTGTTCTATATATCTCTCTTTTTGTTCTCTATGCTTCTGCCCTTCACAGAACCAATGTAAAACCGCGTCCATTTATTGTTTGTTTCATTCATTCATTGACAATAATAGTCTGGGAAGCAACAAGAGGAAAAAACGTGAGTTTTAGGTCAGCCAAACTGTATAATCTTTGTTGAAAGTTCCATGTACTACATCTTTATAATGTATAACAACTGTTGTTGGATGGAAATTATCATTCTGAAAAAATTAGAAGTTGTTCTGAATTGAACTGTCCAAGCCAGTTCCATAATACAATCGTAGTCAGTCACTCAGGAGTATTTAGGCTTGCAAGGTGGTTCTTACTGATCCACACATGATTCCACGTGACCCATGATACTCGGGTCATGGCGCTTTCGACTACTGGACTTTTGCATATTAAAGGACTTAAAGGTTCTTGTTAAGGTAAAAAGTCTCCTCTTATCTACTAGAAAAACTCATTTGAGTAAGGAAAGAATTGTGGACGAGAAGTTTTCTACATTTGTTTACCAAATTTATACATATTTCTATTTGTATGTCAGGTAATGAAATGTGATAACAAACATGACGACATAAAGAAGATTTTTAAATGGTTGGGTTATGATATATTTTTAACCAAATTGTTCGGAAAAATCTCAAACTACGCTAAACTGTTGCATCACCCAAATCATACCACTTATCTGGTTTGTTTTCAATATAAAGTCCCAATACATTTCCAATTTCCTACAAGAATTTCACTATCTATATAACTGAAAAAATGGGATGGTATGAACTAAACAGCATTCTCAGGGGGCATCAAACTTTGGCTAAATCTTTGACAGATCCATGTGGTACCAAATCAGCAGTTTTGAGAAGTCGATTTCGTTTGACTTTTAGAATTTTGGCAGTTTATACTAGAGAGTTCTAATTCTGTACATTCTCAACCAATTCTATGCATATTTCTATTTAGGTTACTTTCTAAGCTAGATACTACAAATGTGGATTTTTATTACTAAATTAAAATAAATCAGGAGATAAATTTAGGATGGAGACATATAGAGGTGGCAAAAAAATCGAGTAGCTCGTCTGCTCGGCTCGACCCCTTGGGCGGAGCTCGAGCCAAGCGGGGTGCTCGATAGCTCAATTTAGGCGAGTGAGTTGTGGGCTCGCCGAGGTTTTAGTGACCATTTGGTTACTTTTCCAAGTTTTGTGACCCTTTTTTAAACGGTCAAAACTCTTTTTTAATTGTTGGGGTCCCAACCGTATAATCAAAATATTAAATTACTATAATTCTATTACATTCAATTAACATACATACACTCTATTATTTTCTACACTATCCAATTTATACATTTCATCCTCGTTCAAATTACATTATCTACTATAATTCTAGTTCATCTTTATACATTTCTATTCTATTAGATACACATGGATCCTAATGCTTTTGTTGAGGACTTATTTGATGGTCACTCATCTATGACACCACTATCTCAATTTTACAACGAATTTTTCAGTCTCTATCACATCCACATTCCCGACGAATCGTCGGGAATGGGTGTTGACGATGTTCATGAAAGTAGTCAACCAATTGATCTAAATCACATTGATGAATATGCTGCCGAACTAGAACAAGAAATTCTAGATGTAAGGGGGAAGCGAAAGGGTAAAAAAGATGCTAAGCGTTCCCAGATTTAGATGACATTGAGGAATATGCCGTTGAACCGAAACAAGAAATTCTCAAATTTAAGTGGAAGGCGAAAGTGTAAAAAGGCTGCAAAGTGTTAGCAACACTTTGATCCAAACGGGCCATACAATTGACAGAGTTCAAGAATGTAAAGTAATATATAAATACTATCAAGCACGATTGACATGGCAAAATGGTATCGGTACTACCCACCTCAATCGTGCCTCAATTGTACGGCCAAACATGGTTTGTTGGTGGATCTCAAATAAAACTGCAATTTGGTACTCCTTCCGGTACCGGTTCTACAACACTTAGCACATGGACGTATTCGGAGAAAAAACTCATGAAGGAATGGTGAAATTCGTTGTTGGTGTTAAGTTGCCGCTAAGCATAGTGGACAACCGACAACGACCATTTCATGATATTAATGTAAGAATATCTTCAACCAAGATACGTTAGGGTAATTTGAAACACTCTTCGTTATGATACCGTAGATTATTTCATTAAAACCAAGAAACAATTGATTCATAATTTATATAAATGTGGTAGTGTTACATCGTTTACTTCAGATTTATGGGAATACAATAATAAAAAAAGAAAAATGCTTCAAGTACAGATGAATTTTACCAGGCTTTTACCAGAATTTTGAATTCCCACTCACATAGAGTGGACCCATGTATAAAATATTGAAAAAAAAAAAAAAATTCCCCCAATGAAGGAATGGTGAAATTCGTTGTCGGTGTTAAGTTGCAGCTAAGCATAGTGGACAACCGACAACGACCATTTCATGATATTAATGTAAGAATATCTTCAACCAAGATACGTTAGGGTAATTTGAAACACTCTTCGTTATGATACTGTAGATTATTTCATTAAAACCAAGAAACAATTGATTCATAATTTATATAAATATGGTAGTGTTACATCGTTTACTTCAGATTTATGGGAATACAATAATAAAAAAAGAAAAATGCTTCAAATACAGATGAATTTTACCTGGCTTTTACCAAGATTTTGAATTCCCACTCACATAGAGTGGACCCATGTTTAAAATATTGAAAAAAAAAAAATTTCCCCCCTAAATGTTGTGTCTATGCTGTAAGTACAGGGATTTTGAATCCCTGTTCTTGTAGCAAAGTCCATAAAAAATGTTATATAGCTATAACTGTACACTACATAGACACACTTTGGATTATGCATAAAAAAATAATTGCTTTTAAGATAATTGAATTTTCTTATAATGACAACAATATTTTTCATGCTCTAATGCAAATTATTAAATAATATCATTGTGAAAGTAAAATTTGTTCTTATACATTTGACAATACTTGTGTTAATTAGCTTGTCATAGATAAATTTTGTAGGATTGCTAATCCTGATTTTGATATTTTTTGTTTTCTGTTCGTTGTGTATTTCACATTTTTAATTTAATTGTGCAAGCCGTTATGAAACATATAAATGAGCAAATGGATAGAATTAGGATGCACTAATATATATCACCATATCACTGAGTAGGAAACAAGAATTTGAGGAATATTATGCACAAACTGGTCAAGATTCCAAAAAATTGTAACGACGTAGAGCAGAGATGGAACATCACATACTTATTTTTAAAATTATGTGAAGGATATAAATATTTAATTACTGAATTTTATAACTCTAAGCATATAAGAAATGACGATGAGTTTGTTTTGATTGATACTAATTGGGAATTAGCCTTTAAAGTCAAAAGATTTTTGACAATTTTTTTATGATTCCACAACTGTTTTATCTGATGTTTACTACCCCACTAGTTCAAGAGTTCTTGAACTTATTTTTGTCATTGTATGGACTTTTAATAAATACAAAAATGATCCTACTTTTACTAAAATATTTCTATAGAACTAAGGGTGCGTTTCATTGCAAGGGTGGAAAATTGGTGGAAAGAAAATATTTTATAGGGAAAAGATTTGCCTAGAAAATGTTTTGTAGGGAAAATGATTTCAAGTGTGTTTGATTGATATAATTTTCCACCGGAAAATTTTTAAATTTTCTATTCACTTTGTTTTACATGGAAATTGTCTATTAAAGTAATTGTTTTTTCCATAATTGGTTATAAAATTTGTTTCCATTGACAAAAAGTAAAAAAAAAAGGGAAAATAAATTGTTTCCTAAAAAATNTTTTTTCTCACCAAAAAGGCGGGAAAAAATTTTCATCAAAAAGCCGGAAAATGCACATGTGTGGGCTAAACCTGGAAAATATTTTCCGTGGAAAATTTCGCCTATCAAACAACCAAAAAAGTGAAACGTGGAAAATATTTTCCTAATTGCCTGGAAAATAACGCGTATCAAACACGCCCTAAAGGTTAGAAAGTACTGGAATGACTTGACTATGTTATTCCTTTTGGCATGCGTAATGTACCCCATTTATAAAATGAGGTACTAAATATGTTATTAGACAAATCACAAACACTTTAAACTTTGACACACCGATCACTTATTCTACTTTAGAGAAGACATTTACTTCCATGTATGATGTATGTACAGTTGTTGGGTGCAAATTCGGGGCACCCTCCACACTCCTCCATTCCACTAATCTTGAAGAAGACGATTAAAAAATAGTGAATTTTTTGAATAATTAGGGATGAAAGATTTGACGCATGCAAGAGGTTCGTCTCCATTATTTTCAAAATACATTTTTCTCTCTCTTACTTTCAATCATATTCTTCAATAAAATAATATTTTAAGCAAACCTACATTTTTTTCTTATTTTTAACTACACATTTTTCATCAAAATACTATTACAAAATGCATTGTGGACAAAATAGGCTCAAACAGGCTCATAATTAGACATTGGACACAAGTCCAACTGGAACGATTGCTGAATTATTTAACTATTTTAATCATCAAATGCTTAGGAACGTAGATCCTGTTGATGCATTACAATTTGATTTAATTGGTTTTTGACGAAAGAACGAACGAAGATATCCAATTTTTTCAGTGATTACAAAAGATCTACCAATACCTTCAATTAGCACAGTAGCTTTGAAGTCTACTTTTAATTCATGTAGGTGAACTCTATCCAAAGTCAAGAGCTGACTCAAAGAAGATATTTTGAAAACATTAATGTGCGTAAATGTTTGACAAGTCACTCATTTTTTAATACAAGATAAATATGCCAAAATTGCGTGTAGTCGGATAAAAAATATTTACTTTCGTCATATAAACATACTTTGTTATTTGCTTA